TTCACGAACACCGTGTACTCGGGCTGTGGGAACGCCGGCGCGTTGTCGTTCACGTCGGCCACCTCCACGGACACGCTGGCTGTGGCCCACAGAGAAGGAGAGCCCCCGTCCCGGGCGGTCACCACCAACTCATAAGCTGACACGCTCTCACGGTCCAGGGGGCTGTCCAGCACCAGCGAATAGTAATTCTTGAAAGTGGACACCAGTTTGAAGGGGACATGGGTCGTCAGGTTGCAGGTGACCTGTCCGTTGACACCTGAATCACGGTCAGATACGCTGATCAGGGCGATGACTGTGCCCAGTGGAGAGTCTTCTAATACTGGTAACGATAGTGATTTGATAACCAACTCAGGTACATTATCGTTGACGTCCAGAATTTCCACTAGAACCGTGCAATGATCTGCCATTGGGGGATTTCCTTTATCCGTCGCTTCTACCTGGATTTCATATGACTTAGTTTCCTCGAAATCTATGTTACCCTTTACACTGATGTACCCATTCACAGGATCTAAGTGGAACTTCGACAGAACATATACTGACGTGTCTGTGTTGAAAGAATATACGATGTCCTTATTTACGCCTTCATCCAAATCAGAGGCGTTAACGATTACCACTAGAGTACCATTTGGTACATTTTCGAATAATCTAACTTTGTAGACCGTCCTCTCAAACTCTGGGGCGTTGTCGTTTACATCTAAAACGGTGATCTTCACTTGAGTAGTGCCCGTGAGCTCTGGTTTCCCACCGTCAATTGCTGTTATTAGTAAATGATGTTTAGGAGTGTCCTCTCGATTTAAAAGTTTTTTCAACACAAGTCCAAGGGATTTAATTTCCTCATCATTTCTTTTAACGTCCAAGGTAAAATATTCAGTGGAGTCAAGGTTGTAAGTTAACAATGAATTTGTTCCGATATCTGCATCTGATGCGCCCTCTAGCGAAAACCGAGAGCCAGGCTGTCGAGATTCGGAAATAAACAAATTTTTTACTGCCGTTGGAAAAACTGGCGGGTTGTCATTAATGTCCTTCACCTCCACCACCACATGGAAAACCTGCAGCGGCCTGTCCACGATCACCTCCAGGTGGATGCTACAATCCGCGCTCCGCCCGCACAGCTCCTCCCGGTCGATCCGAGAATTCACAAACAAAATGCCATTCTGCAGATTCACCTCCAGAAGGTCCATTCCGCTTTTGGACGCCACTCGGAACAGGCGCGGCACCAGCTCCGTCAGCTCCAGCCCCAGGTCCTGCGCGATGCGTCCCACGTAGGTGCCGTGTTTGGCCTCCTCGGGGACCGAGTAGTGGAGCTGGCCGCTCCCCGCCTCCCACACTGCGAGGAGAAGCCAGAGCAGCAGGCGCCGGGATTCCTGGCCGCTTCCCCAGGAAAATTCCATCTCAAGTACACAGTGCTCTGTTCTGATTCGATATCCTGTCTCAAAATCTAATCGGTCCGTCAAGGTACCACTGCATCTTCCATTTTTCAAACTCCGGATCGTCTACACAGCTCTTTCCAGTGAGAATAGAAGGATTTTTTTTTCACCTTCTTTCTTCTATCAGATCTATTTTATGGTAAAGAGCGACATCATGTGGCTCCAAACAGTAAGTATCAATTCTAGAAATCTACACTGGACTGTAAACTGCTAGGTCTTATTTATTCTTTCAGCCGTTTTGGAGAATAGGATACATTTTGTACTCCTAAGGTACACATTATACCACTGATTGATTGAATATGATTCTTGGTTTCACCCCAAGGGCAGCTTTTACTTCAGTGGAAATTTTTTTCACACAGGTTTTAAGTATTACAGAGACCCAGCTGTAGTTAATATACGCTTTGTAAAGGGTATACGATTGTAAAGTATTGATTGGAAAAATTCATGACAGATTCCTTGTGTTTTCAAGAATACCAGAGGTGGTTGTTAATGATGACACCCTCTTCACCCGTGGGTTTTTATTTCTGGTGTTTTAGACTTGTGGGGACTAGTCTTTAAGAAATCTCTAATCCCAAGAACAAACCATTGAAAGGGAAAGTTCCGGGTGTTTTAAAAAGGAATCAAAGACCATTAGCATTTAATTGACTGAATTCCTTGACTCATGTAAGGGCTGAATGTGCAAGGAAGCAGGAAGTTGTAGTAAATTGCTTGTGTGGAAAAGTATTCCAAATAATTTTATTCGTTGAAACTCATTCACTCCAAAGAGCAAAGTTCATATTCTCATTTTCACGCTTATGATTTATAAGCACTTGCTTGTTCTCCAGTAGGTAATATGCCTAAGCTTCTATTTTCTCCTATAGTGCTCATATATTTTAGTCAAACTGAATAATTTCCTGATTCCAGGAACATTTTTTACTAAACAAACATACTCACTTTTTTCCATGCCTAAGTAACCCACATCATTTCCAAACTCTTCATAAACCAATTCCCCCCATTTTATGACCACGTAATACATCCTTGACCCACGAAGAATTTCATAATCAAACCAATGGAACATTGTTATCTTCTTTTATAAGCTATTGCATCCAGATTAATCTCTGTCTTGTAAGCATTTCAATATGCATGTCCTTTTTTGAAATATAAATTTAAAAGGGAATAGTTGTATCTTAGTAGTTTATTGGCTCAGAGGTACTCACCAAGTATTTGCTGAATATTTAACCAATCAAGATGGCTTGGTTTTCTTCAATTGCCTAATAAAACACATTAATTTAAGGTAGCCACATAGCTAGTCAGGAAAAAGTGAGGTTCAGCAGCCTCTATAATTTTCTAAAGATACAAAAAGACTTTCTTTAGACATTGCCCTGATTAAAATATATATCAAGTTTCATGTTGAAACCCTGGGTTTTAGCTTAATCTTTGTTCCAATTCTTGGCAATCAACCTGAGTGTTAATGGGCAATGAAGATTTCCCAATAAGTAGAGCACAGTACATTTTCCTACATAAAGAAACTTAATAAAGAAAGATATAATGGTAGCCATTTTTACACTTTCTTTGCCTCTTATTTTAATAAACTTCCATCATGTTTGTCTAGACAAAAAGTTCAATCTGGTGAAAATAGCTTTAGGCTCCCTCTCTATGAAGAGCCATATTCACACACACAAAAAAAATTCTGAATGAAAACACAAATCAAAGTATTTTCATTGTTTGGGGACCCAAACTAGATTTTTATAAAATGATCATAGTTGTCCAGCACACTGGAAGAAAGTGAAAAGAATTCCATTTCCATTCATTTTATTTGATAAGATATTTTAATGCATAGATAAGGGATGCAATAGAATATTATGGATATTTATTTGGTACCTATTCAGTATTCACTTGGTAAAGCATCAATACACCTCTGAGGAGAAAGACTCCAGTCTTCAAAATGTCTTTAGCAAGAGTCTTGTTATATGAGAATTTCAAGAGAAGAGCTGGATTTGAAGACTGAAGTCCCATATCTGGGAAGACAAGAACTTTAGATGACCCTTATTATTTACAAGAAGACAATAACAAAACGATTTTAAAAAATTGAATTGAGGTTGGACATGCCATGGCTAATATTTGATGGACGAGGGGGCAGCAAAAGTAGTGCCAAAAAAAATAGAAGTGCATAAAGGGAGGAGTGAAGAAAAGTATTTCTCTATTTTCCCTGTTAGACCCCTGACAATGTCACTGAGTATTATTCAGGTTTCAGCTGGTTACTATTTCTCCCCAGTGACAAAGAAACTTGAATGGGAGTCCAACTATTTGCTAGGGAAGATGACCAAATACATGTGGGAAATGACAGGAATGTAGGCTCATCTCAATTTTATTTGGTGCCAGTTATTTGGACTTTTCTACTGACTATATGGCACACATTCATACACAGAGTTATTTTCAAGAACGTCACCAGTAGTAACATTGATTTATCAAACCAATTTGACATTAGCAAAAGAGGCTAATGAAACAAGTATTGCTAGTAGGGATAGTTTTAAAATTAGATATACAGTATTATTTCCAACATATTCTTCATTCTGAAACTGCTTAACAAGATTTAAAATATTATTTTAAAAAGAATATTTAAATACACTACAGGAGTATTAGATTTCTCCTTCACATTGATATTTTAGTTATTAGTAATAAAAATAGGGAGAACCAGAAGATAAACAAAGATACGATTCTAAATACAATTGGTATTCTGGTTTTTTCCCCCCAGTTGGGAAATCTGCAACAACAAACAGTATTGCCAAGTGAGAGTGCGATGCCTAAAATTAATCACTGTCAAGCAGAGAAGGAGGGCTAAGACTTGAAACAAATGAATGAGAGAATAAAATAGGTTCCATAGAGGACAACAAGTGTAATAAACTAATAGTTGAAACTGAAGGTAGAAAAGCATAATAAAAAGGGAGTCGTGAGCATTTAGGGTGACCTCATAAAATGGGCCAGTGACATTTGTGCTACATCTAGTGGAAAGTCCAAACGAAAACTGGTAAAAGATACTGCAGCATTGTGCAGGGAATAGTCCACCAAAAGTTGAAGTCAAATTATCTAAATAATGCAATTCCTCCAAGAAAAAAGTTTCATTTTGCACCCAGGCATTTAGCAATAAAATAATCCTACTACTGCATTTACTAACAACAACAACTACACGTTTGGGTCTCACTGCTGATTCAGTTCCAAAATTAGTAACAAACATCCTAACGTTTTCACCACAAAACTAGTAACTGAAAAACTCTAAATATAAAACACATAATGCAGCATATGTAACTATTAACTTGTGTCCACTGGAGTGGAAACATTGAGGAATAAAAAACAAAGACATTTTGGAAGGGATAAAGAAAAATTACTCACTTTGGCGGAGAGATCAATGTCCACGTCCTGTTGCTCCTCTCTATCCTTGCTAACTGGACAAGGCGAAAGGCTGGGGCTAAAAGCCATGAGGTCGGTCTTGGGCAGCCCCTCCCCAGAGCACACCCTCTGCCGCCTCTGTTGCGAGTAGCTCCCCACCGCGCTGGAGCACACCAGCATGGGCTTCCCAGGCCCACACGCGCCCTCGATGGGCGACACAAAGCATCGCAGCGCTGTGTACAGAAGCAGCGTGAGCACCAACAGGCTGGACACAGCGCAGATGGCGATGATGAGATACACGTTCACATCCACCAGCGCCCCTTCCGGGCCCACAGCGCCCACCAACGCCCGCGAAGAGGCCTTCGGCGCCTGGCCACTCTCCACCAGTGACACCAGCACGGTGGCCGTGGAGGTCAGTGCGGGCTCACCGTGGTCCTTCACCAGCACAAGCAGGCGCTGGAGCGAAGCGTCTGCCTCATCCAGGGAACGTGTCGTGCTGATCTCGCCGGTGTACAGCCCCACGCGGAATGGGCTGTGCGGGCTGCCCGCTGCAGGCTGCAGCTCATATGACAACCACGCATTGTAGCCAGAGTCGGCGTCCACCGCGCGCACCTTTGCCACCACGTGGCCTGCACCCACAGATCGAGGTACCAGGTCATTCACCGCGCCGCCGGTACCACTTGCCCAAGGCGCCTGCAGCGATGGGGCGTTGTCGTTCTCATCCAGCACGAACACCTGCAGCGTCACGTTGCTGCCCAGAGGCGGCACGCCCGCGTC